GAATTTAAAAATACACCTTCAGGGGACTTACCAAGACTCATTTGCTTAAATACATCTGTAAACTAATTGGAAGCAATATTATATACTTTTAAGTCATAAAATCTTAAATGGGGATTTTCTCTTAAAAACCCTCATTAGAAAATAAAGAAAATGAATCAGTCAGGAGACACATTTGAATATTAGGAGAGACCACATTGATTTATGACCACATAATTATTAATTTGCTAGTGTGTTGGGGATTCTTCTCTCCACCCACCTACCAAAAACACTTATAATTACATATTACAATATATTTTATTGAAGCGTAACAGCTGGAATTACCCATGATGTTATTCATAATAACAAATATTCGGCGTTAATGGCATAGCTTCCACATAGAAGTTCATAAGAACTAAGATATATACTAGAACTATATATCACAGGTAATCCAAATTCATGATTTAGCTGCCAAAAATTATAATTGCATATTGCCAAGAAGTTTCTGACCAAAACTAGAAGGTCCATATGTGATGTCGGTTCCAAAAGACTGATAGTATGTTTTGTTTTGTTTTGTTTTGTTCTTTGTCATTTTTTGTTTAGGTACTGGATACAAATCAAAAGAACTCGAAACTCTTTCTGAGGGCCAGACCTTAATGATTGGTGGAAAGGAGGTTGAGATAACGGGACCAATCTCTGCGGAGGACTTCATGAGTGGCCGGTGTTTTCACTCCACTGTTACTGCTTTGTCACATTTACCAGTGGCAACATTTTCACAGCATCCTTTACTAAAACCTTTTACAAACCCATTGAAGAACAGTCCTGGGTTCAGTCAAACACAAATTTTTCAAAAAACCAACATTGAATGTAAACCTAGGCATGATCCAAATGCTCCAAGTAAGCAATTTAATTGATAATTTTTGTAATCTTGGGTTATTTGTTCAGCCGTTGAGTAACCTATGATACCTGCAAAACTTTCCAGTAGACTTGTAGAGAAACACATTTAAAAATATTTGTCTTTTACATTTGGGCTTCACTGATGAGGCCATCATTTTGTGTCTTTGATGGCTACCATTATAAACTAGTGCAACCCATATTCTTGGGATACAGGCTTCACTGGCAAGAACAGAAATTATTTTCCAACCTAAATAGTTGTCCTTAATTGGTATTGAGTCATTTTCATAAATTATTGCAGAAGAAGGTTGCTGACAATGCTGCGAGGGAGGAAGTTCCAGGATTTTCATCCAGTGACAAGTGTATAAGGTGAGGGTCATGGACAAGGCGGATAGAAAGCAGCTGTTTTCCTTAGTTTGAAGGGTCAGTAATGAGGAGGTGTGATTTTTAAGGTGAAAGAGGGGGTCTGAGGAAGAGATTTTCATCCAGAGGGTGGTGGGAATCTGGAATGCACTGCCTGGGCAGGCAGTAGAGGTGGGAAACTTTCTAAAGTATGTAGATGAGTACTTGAATTGTCATAACAAGTAGGCCAAGTGATACAATGCGGGATGAATGTAGATAGGTCAGCACAGACTTGTTGGGCCAAAGGGGCCTCTTCTATGCTTAATGACACTATGACTATGATAGTGAAGGTCAGGATGGTGTATGATTTGGGGGGATCTTGAAAATGATAGTGTTCCATGCACCTGCTGCCTTTGTCCTTCTGGTGGAAGGTAGAGGTTATGGGTCTGGAAGGTGCTGTTCAAGAAGGAGCCTTAATGAGTTGTCTGTAAAGCCATAAACCACATAAGCTGTTTCTTTAGGGTTTACTGAGTTAGTTTATTCCAATAAATGAAGGTATTTCAGGGGCTGAAAGGTGTCTTGGCATCCTGAGGCTAGAAAGGAAAATAATTAACCAGGCTTGTTCTTCCTGTCCAGTGGCACTTGCTGAAAAATGTACTTCTGTATGAATGTTTGAGTTCATCTGTAATTCCCTCAAACTACTCATTGTAATGCCCTCTCCTGTTAAATGGTCTGCAGATATTCAATTGCCGACACCAACAAATGAAGAACTACTGTTTAGGCTAAGTAATAGGCTTTTGGCAGCTCGATACACAATTCAGTTCTTAGAAAAGTCAGAGAAAAAATACTTTTGTGAAGCAACATGTTTTACTTTTGCTAAACCTTTCTTTTTTTTCCCATAGAGTTATAGAAGTCTACAGGACAGAAAAATGCTGAGCCTGCGCCAGTCAAAATGACCACCAAACTAACCTTGAATAGTTAGGTGGTGGTTTTTGACTGGAACAGACTTGATGATCCAAAGAGACTGTTTCGATGCTGGAGACCTCTATGACTCTAACTGTTCTCATCCCAGTTTTCAGCATTTGGCTCATAGCCTTGTGTGCCTTGGCAGAGAAATACTTCTTAGATGTTATGACAATTTCTGACCGATCACCCTTAATGGCAGTGAGTTCAAGGTTCCCACTACCCTCTTGATGAAAAAAACATCCTCACATTCTCTCTAAACCTCCTGTACGTTACCTTAACCTTTAAATCTGTGTCCCTAGGTTATTGATCCCTCCACCAACGGGAATAGTTTATTCCTGTCTACCCTATTTATGCCCCTCATAACTTTATACATCTCAATCATATTCCCCTTCAATCTCCTCTGTTCCAAGGAAAACAACCCCAATCTATCCAATGTGGAGCTGGAGGAACACAGCAGGTCAGGCAGCATCAGAGAAGTAGGAAAGTTGACGTTTCGGGTCAAGACCCTTCTTCAGAACTCTATCCATTCTCTCTTCATAACCAGAACTCCCCAACCTAAGTAAAATCCCGTTAAATCTCCCCTTCACCCTCTCCAGTGCAATCACATTTCTCCAGTAATGTGGTTTCCAGAACTGCACACAATAATCTATCTGTGGCCTAACCAACCTTTCATACAGTTCCAGCACAACCTCCATGTCCTTAAACTTTATGTCTTAGTTTAATCAGAGCAGGTATCATATATGATGTCTTAACTACTTTATCTATCTGTCATGTGAACTTAAGGGTCAGGCAGTTTAGCATACCAAGGTTTCTCTGATCCTTTGTGCTTCCCAGGGCCCTGCCGTTCATCATGTATTTTCTTGTCTTATTTGTCCTGCCCCAGTGCATCAGTTTGCACTGATCTCGATTGAATTCCATTTGCCACTGATCAGCCCTTCTGACCATCCTATCAAAGTTCCCCTGTAATCTAAGGCTATCCTCCTTACTGTTTTTGTATCACCTGTGAATTTGCTGATCAATCCTCCTACTCTAAGTCGTTTATATACATCGAACACAGCAAGGGCCATAAAACTAATCTCTGTGTAACCCCCATGGACCCAATCTTACAAACATCACTCGACCCATTACCCTCTGCTTCCTGCCACTTAGCCTATTCAGGATCTAATTTGCCAAATTTCCTTGGATCCTATTGGCCATTACCTTGGCTATCAGTCTCCCATGTGGATTGTTATCAAAAGTCTTGCTGCCATGTAAACTATGTTGAATGTGTTGCCCTCATGTATATGCCTGATTACCTTATCAAAAAATTCAATCAAGTTGTGAGATGTGCCTTCCTCTTAACAAGACCATGCTGACTATTCTTGATTAATCCTTGCCTCTCAACTGCAGATTAATCATGTCCCTCAGAATTGTTTCCGATAGCTTACCCACCACTGAGATTAGACTGACTGGTATGTAGCTTCCTTATTTATTCCTTGCTGTCTTCGTGAGTAACAGTGCTACATTGGCTGTCCTGCAGTCCTCTCCTGTGGCCGGGGAGGAATTCACAATTATTGCCAGTACTCCTGTTATTTCCTCTTGCTTCATTCAATAGCCTGGGGTACATTTCATCCGGCCCTGGAGATTTATGTACTTTTAAGTCTGCAATTCCACTCAAAACCTTCTCTCTGTCTATGTTAGAGATAGTAGGAACTGCAGATGCTGGAGAATCCGAGACAACAAGGTGCAGGGCT